TCCCCAAAAAGGTCTTTACCTGGCGCCGAAAAACCAGTAACGACGGTGCCAGGAGGACCTCTTTGGGGAGTGAATTCCATAGGTTGGGTGCCACCACAGAGAAAGCCCTCCTCCGAGTACTTACTCTCCTAATTTCTTTCATGGAGGGTTCCAGGAGAAGGGACTCTCCCGCAGATCTCAAAGGGCGGTCGGGCATATACGGACGTAAGCGCTCGTTCAGGTAGCCAGGACCCAAGCCGTTTAGGGCTTTATAGGTCATAATCAACACCTCGAATTGGGCCCGGGCTTCAGTGGGAAGCCAGTGAAGCTGACGGAGGACTGGAGTCATGTGAGCATAATGCCCCGTCCCCGTCAGCAACCTGGCAGCTCTATTTTGCACCAATTGAAGTGTTCGGACCGTCTTCAGGGGAAGCCTTGTACCCATGGACCGTCTTTTGGTAAATTTGAAGTCACAGTGGCATTCCAGCATTGAGCAACTATCTGTTAAACCCTTAGTGGCTGTACTCTGTCCTTACACTGCAATAAACAGTTGCTTCTAAAAGCATACATAGACCCTCTCTCGTACCCTCAGTCATTCTGGAGTAGGTGCAGAGAATCTTGTTTGATATAATCAGAGTCAACAAAACTTCAATTCTCAATCACATTGTGATGTGAAAAAGTCATTGGGAGGTGAAGAATGGTTTGTCTGCACTATGACCTGGTAAGAACTGGTATTTACCAGCTTAGAGTGAAGTACTGACTGAACCACATAAGAAAACATAAAAATATGCTCTTTGAGTAGCCATTAACAATTTGTCAACTAGACCGGTTTTGTAACCATAGCTTAGCTACACAATCCTGTGCATTTTTAATCTGAACTAATTCCTGCTATATTCTCTGGGGCTTGCTTTCCAGTATGTGTGCATAGGATTGCAGCAGAAATCAGTCTTGTAAATGGTTACTGAAGGGACTGGTTGCCTCTTTCCCCTTGTCCCAAGCCAGAAAGGAGAGCAAATCAGCTGTGCATCTTGACATCAGTCCTGTTTTGTGCATGTCTGAAACTGAATCTTTGACAGTATAGAAATCCAAATGCTGTAAAGTGTTGTTGCAGAGATACATGTGGATCATTTTGAGTGTACTAAATGCTGTGCGAATGCCAGTGCTGACACTTTTTTATCCTTACCTGTTTTTTAGGCTGCTGAAATATTGGGTTGGATCTGGACTTAGAATAGTTAAATTAAAATCAGTGGGATTCAAGTTTGTCATGATTAAGAAATCCTGTTGTTTTCAATATATCTGCTCTAAGAATAACTAAATCTAAAGATGACCCATTTTATGTTTATACTGCTGCTGTGCTCCAAAAAAAATAGTTCCAAAATTTCCAAAAGTAGTCACTTAATTTTATAGAGAAGAAATTGCTTTTGAAAATAAATTCAGTGGTAGGTAACCGTTTGGAAAGGTTCTCAGTGGTTGGGGTTGAGTTTTTCTTCTTACTTTCTTAGAGGTAGGCAAGGAGTTCTGTTTTTCATAGTACAATCATCTTTCCAGCAGCCAGTTGCTTCCTCAGATTCCCACAGTTCACTTAAAGTCCAAGAGAAGGAAGACATCATGAGTTTATTCCTCCCATAGGGCTTTTTCAGCTCCGGAAGCAGGGGCAGCCTAGGATGCTATAGAACAATGGAGAGATGTGTGGTAAAAACAAACTACACACAGAGGACCCTTAATAGCTTTGCAGTGATTAGCTGCGCTCAAAACATCATAGAAGTACATTATAAAACAGCCTGAGAACGAGGCAAAATGATGGAAGCCTCTTTTATGGACTAAAAAAAGACTTTCAGGAAACTGGAGAGCCAATTTTGACACAGCACTAGCTCTGCTTCATCCTTGGAATTAGATGCAATGTTTCTGCCCTCACACCTGCATTGTATAGGTGCACAATGGGGGCCAGGCTGGCAGACCAGTGAGTCCTGTTGTCACTTGCAACAATAGCACAAAAAAACTAAAAACATTTCTTAAAGCTTTAACCAAACGGTCACTGCCAGTTGGTAAACTCTCCCTCTGAGAAAGTATTGCAGAATTTCTCCTCCCTCTGGAGAAATATTCCCCTCAATTTCTTTGCCCACACATGGGGTGGAGAATTCAGAATGTCATGATTGGACCCAATGTTCTTAACTAATTTCACTATATAGAACTTAATTTGCTTTGTTTCAGGGGGAATCTGATGACTCTATTCTGCGCCTGGCAAAAAATGATGGTATTGTTTCCAAGTAAGTTGTATTTAGGAGAATGTAGGAGCTACTTCTTCAAGTGGAATCTCCTCTCTTTTTTGTGTTGTTTTGCATAACTCATTCAGTTGGAAAGCTTTACATCTGTGACTATTTTCTTTTCTTTTTCCAGGAATTTTTAACCGAAGAAACACCAGGCTTTGGAATTTATTATGAAATAAAACTGTTAGACAACATCTGATTACAGTGTGTTATTTTAGCTCCTAACAGATAGGATCCTTAAAAGGTGGCTAATTCTGAACATCAGACAACATGACAGTGTCATATAGGACAGTTTTAACAGTGCTGATACATGACTCCTTAGAAGTAGTTTCCATTGAGTTCAGTGGGACTTAGTGGAAGTAGGGTTGCAACCTAAGTCCCTTCTTAAAAAAGAAACTCTGGGCAAGATCAGTATTATTACCCTGTTCACTATATCTTTGCCAGGAGTTGTTTGCTGGATTGTTGTAACGCTATGAACTGGAAGCAGTTATGATGGACCTGTCCCCAGGGGAGGTGTTGGATAGTGGCAGTTTAGATGAAAAGCATCCTAGTTGCTATTAGTTACTGAATGTTTGCCTTTGCTTTGCTTTGTAGAGCAGTATTCTTTACTGCCTCCTCACTAGCACAGCAGGAACTAGTTGTTCCTGAAATAAATGAGAGAATGGGCGACTCATTTCTGGGATGCAACAGGTGAGCAGGGTTCCCCTGACCTGTCGTCTTCCAGCAATGAGCATTTGTGTTCTTTTCCATGCTTGCTTTAGGAAATGCTAGTTCTTGGTGTGTTAGCAAGCTCCTTTGCTAGGGAAACAGAACTAATGGAAACACAGCAACAGTGCAGGATACTGCCCTTAAGCTGTACATCATCTTTGCCTTAAGCTGATCAGATACTTGAAAACATACACAAGATGAGAACTGAAGCTGAGATGCAGGTGTAAAGAACATGTTTCATTCTCCCTCTTCATCTGTATTTGGTGTGCAAAACTCACTACTAAATGTAAAGATGCAAGGATGGTTTTACCTGTGGATTAATCCAATTACTTGTCCCTAATAGTCTCCCTTTTGATATTCTCCCATGTGATAGAGTAGAGAGTGCAATTGCTTGGCTCACTTTCTTGCTGCAAGAAACTCTCCTTTGTTAAGATTTCAAATAGGAAAAATGCAGGATATTGATACCTCTGATAAACAGAATAATTCCCCAAGTATGTAAATATGTTTTACCAAGTAGCTAAACAACTAATTCTATTGCTCTTTTGATAGCCTATTAACATGGCAGCAGGTAAAACAGTTTACCTTCAGTTGGCTGCTTAGCAGAGCCCAGAGGGACCACAGCAGAGAAGATTGAGAAGCCACATGCTGACATCGTCTTTGTTGTCACTCCCTGGATTCTGGCTAATACCCAGCAAGCTGCACTTTTGACCTGATGAGCACAGCTGTTCCTTTAGGTTTGAACAGGACTTATTTGAAAAACTCCCAGATAGAAGTCAGGTACATTATAGCAAATCCAAAGCAATAGTAAACAATTTAACCCTGATGTATTTTGGGGACTTACGCTAGTGCAACAATATCTTGGTAGAATCTTGAAATACAGATGTTACAATAGTGCAAATTTGCAAACATGGCCATCTTAGGGGATTGCATTAGGGCAGTACAGTACTCTAGATACATACTCAGTGGCAGCTTATCCAGACAAGGCCTCATTTCAGAAGGCTTGGCAGGCAATAATCAAGTTTGCTGTAGCTGTGTTGGTGTTTTGAGCATTTCTATTAAGATTTGTGACTGGTAAGCATTTTGAACAACTTCAGAGGCAATAAAACCGCAAATATCAAAAATAGTCCCTCTAAATTTAGCAATACATATTCAGTGTCTATAGAATTGCACAAACCTAAGTGTCGGGTATCCATGCATTTGTCTGAATGGTGTCTGTTCTTTTTTATTCCTCCACCCATGCCACCCTGGTTAGTTAGATGTGGCAAATATTTTACTACTTTGGTACAACTGCATAACCAGGGAAGGGATTTTTGAAATGGTTGCTGTTTTTTCCCCTTCCAGGGCAACAGGGGGCTCTTGGATCCTGCAAATATGCCCTAATGCATCCCTTTTCAACTTCTAATGTTTTTGAGCAGCAACAGTAGAGTGGTCTGAATCTTTTTATGTTTGTTAGATTTACATCCTGCTTTTTCTTACAAAGAACTCAAAGCAGCTTACATCATTCTCCTGCTCTCAGTCTTGTCCCCACAACAGAAACTCTGAGGTAGGTGGGGCTGAGAGTCTGTGACTGGCCCCAAGTCACCCAGTTGGCTCCATGCCTGAGCAGGGCATAAAACCCAGATCACCCAAATCCCAGTCCCATGCTCTTAACCACTGTACCACACTGTCCCTCTTGCGCTAACAGCCCACTTAGCCACCCTTGTTGGGACTTTAGACTGCTCCCTAAAATAATCCAAAAGCATTTCCAAGATCAGCACAACTCTTCACATAAAACTCATTTAATTAAAGCCATATTAAGCCAGCGGCAATAGAAATCAGAAATCTAGTTCGCTATCTCTAATAGAAACTTCTGTTCCCATGTGCTCATGATCTATTCTTGGAAACCAATGTAACATAGTTTCCCGGATTTTTGTCTGCATGTACAAGAGTAAGCATTCCAGCTTGGATTTTTTTTCATTAATACTTTTGCTCCTAACCAGCTCTGAAACACGCTGTTTTCTTACCCAGTTAAAATAGTACTGCTAGGTTAGGAAGTTTTTTGCAGATATATTTTTAAGACTCTTTTCAGAGAGGAGCAAAATGCCCTGTGTTGCTCTCAGACAGGAATAGTTCAGGATCTCAGAAGAGCCATGAAAGGGAATGTAGAGCTGGATTGTATACATGCTGCCCCATTGCCCTTACATGGTTACATTACACCAACTTGAGAAATTATTTTCTATTACTTGGAAGAGGCTTGGGCATTCAAGGAACATCTGTACTGATCTGGGCTATTTCAATGAAAATGGGCCTTTGCCTGGCTGAGCACGTAGTGTGCTGGGATTTATTTCTGTTGCTGAGTGGAGCTCTTTGGTAGTATGGAAAGGGGGCCTTCTGGGGAAGAGTGAATAGCCAGTTGTTCATGGAGACTTGAGTACACGCTTCCTGCAGTGCAACGTAGCATTGGTACAGGCCTAGCTACTTGGCTTGCAGCATAGCAGTAGCACTAAGGCACAATCCAACACGAGTGTAGACAGGAAAAAAGCCTACCATTCCCACCATGTCCCAGCTGGAATGCTGAGAGTTATAGGAGGTTTTTTTTCTACATAAACCTGTGTAGGTTTGTGGCCTTAAGTTTTAGGACCAGGTGAACTGCAGGTAGGTCCTGTCCACATCATGGAAACTTCATCGTCTCTTTCTGAAGGGTTTGAAGTTCCAGTCTTGATTAGCAAGAAAATTGGATGAAGGGAAAGAAATCAGAGAATGAGCGATGAAGATGGGGAAAGGCAGTTGGGGGGCTACAGAAGAGGACACAAAAGTGAGCTTAGCCAAAGAGCGTGGTACAGCTTTCTGGAGCGCTTCAGGCTTCCTCTGGGTATGTTGCATGCTTGAATGCTCCCTGTGCCAAAATATCTGCCCACAGAAAACTGAAAGGACAAGGAGAAAGATTATTTCCTGTTTGTTTCAGGATTTCCACCCTACTTCCTCGACCAAAAAGGCTGCTAGAGAGCCATATATGCATTACATAAAAAGATAGTCCTTGTCCTTAGGCTTACTAATCTAAAAAGACACAATATACAAGGGGGAGGGAAGGGAAGGGAAGGGGAAAAAGGCACAGCTCCGCTTCTCAGTGCAGCTTACTGAAATAGCTACTAGTGATGAGTTGTGTTTTGTTTTGTTTCCATACCACCCCATAGCCAAAGCCCTTTGGGCACTTTACAACAATCCTTAAGACAATAAAATGTTATAAAAATAGAGAGATATTAAAAAGCTTAAAATAGTTAAAACAATAAAGAATGACTCTTAAAGGGGAGGGCATATATATAGAGAGAGGGCATACATCATCTGTCCTTTGATACAGATTGCCTTTATAAAATACGTATATGGCCAAAATCTCAACACACTTTGGGGGTTTTGGGGGGTTTTTTCCCTTCTAGATAGACATATATGGCATATAGAATTTTAATGCAGCCTGAATTGCTGTCTGAAAAATCTGAGCTCCCTTAATTTTGGGAGAATACAGCTCCTCCCACAGCCTCTTGTGTGAAAGCCGCTGTAGGGCAAAACACTAAAAGGTCGGCAAGGGACCTCAGAACGCTCCAGACGCTACAGGGGTTTGCCCACAAAAGTCAGGATGTGTCATAGCCAAGAGGGGTTTACTGAAGTGCACAAAATGTTGTCCAGCCACAATGTGCTGTTATTTTTATTCTGCCTGTTGAAGGTGAACCTTGCTTTTTGATTGACAGTGTGCATCTTTCATAATTTAGGTTGGAGGATATGGAACTCATGATGGAAACTTGGCATATAACAATCACCCACTTCCATCATTTTCCGTGGGACTGATCAGCCTGAAGTAAACAAAGGAAAGCCAATTAAACAGTGTTTCCAATGAGGAAGTCTGTCATTGTTCAACAGCAGGCAAGAATTCCTCTTGATTAAATCCCCAAATTGGAATTTGTTTTATGCTGCTGGACCAACTCTAAGCAGTTTTTAAAAACCAGTTTACAACTAAAGGGCTTCTCATTTTATTTTAAATCAGTTCCTAATGGAAATTGTTATACCAGAAGATCTGAAGACAAAAACTTTCTCAGCATACAAACACATTTTAGAAGTTTCTAATTCCTTTCCCAAATTATTTGCATCCTGCAAACTAACAAAAGCCATGTGATATTTGCATCCTGCAAACTAGCAAAAGCCAAAATTGCAAAGAGACATCATGCATTATGCACATGGTAGGCACGTCATGAATACAGCCTGCTGGAGCCAGGGTCAGACTAGATGGCCCAGGAGACCCCTTCTATGTTTATTACAATTTGGCGTTTTGTAAAGCCAAGAACTCAATAAAGATATAATTAAAATTAATCCATTTAAATTAGATAACTTACTACTGACAGAATACCCATCCTAAAAGCAGTACAAAGAACAACATTCTTTTATAAAATAAACAGATTATAACCATCCTATGAAGAACATACATCCGGTTGATTTTCATAATGAACTGTTATGTAGG